GAGTGATGCAATAGTTGAAAGTTATTTTATTATCCAATTATTAAAGAGAAGTGTACCGCATGAAACTTCCCTCCCAGTTGTATTAAAATTTTAACTCTTTTTGAAGGCTTGAGGTTCCCAAATTTGAAGTCTGAAGGGGTGTATCTGCCCTCATTCCTTTTCTTTCAAAAAAGCCCATAAGTTTACTATATAAATTCACCATTTTACCCTCATTCCTTTCTTTCAAAAGAAGGCCTACATTTTATTGTTCCTCATCCTCAAATTCACTTTGTTATAGTGTAAAATAAGAAATTAAAAAAATATGAAAATTAATAATATTATTATTTATTCTACTTTTCCCCTACATGTCGTGTCCTTACTTTTTTTGCAAAAATCACGTGTTGGTGTCATAGATAGCAAGTTGGAAAAACTTTACTACAGGCATGCACTTACCAGCACGTGCACATGGTCACAAAATAAAATAAAAGCTAACAAATGTGTTGCACATGCCCAAAATAGGGAGAAGAAGCTTGATATCCCAAAATAGGGTGTGGGAATTTATGATATTTCCTTAGTATGCATACCCACCATACGGCTTGTTCGGTAGGAAGAATTAGACAGTACTCGATTGTAAATATAATAAAAAAGTTAAAATCTTTTTGTTATAATGTTTTGTATAATCCAGGATTGTGTGTCAAATATGCACCTGAGGTTAACCATTAGAATGTCGGTTCGACCCCTTATCCTCTCTTTATACATTGCTGTTTGCGTAGGAGTTTTTAACTCTCAAGTTATCAGTTGTGTGATCTTTGGGTATCAGTGGGAATTTTTTGTGGTTATCATTGATCATTTGTATTATTGGGATTCTCTCTCTCTCTCTCTCTCTCGGGTGGATGGGTTCATAACTTGGCACATTTCTTGTATAACCAATTTTACTCCTGTCAAAACAGGTACTGCTTTCTATTTGCTCACTGTTGACCGACCCAAATCCTGATGATCCCCTCGTTCCCGAGATTGCCCACATGTACAAGGTTGACAGGGCCAAATATGAGTCCACAGCCCGCAGCTGGACACAGAAGTATGCCATGGGATGACAGAGATACTTTCTTCAAGTAGACTGCTGTACCAGAAACAACACATAAACCTTGTAGACCATTTTGATGGGGACCAAAAATGAAGTGTGATGGATTTGGTTCTATGTATTATATTCTAGAATCGGAACCTTATATCCGTTTGAGGTTGTTCTAACTAGTGATATCCATATCAATGTTACTCTGGAAAGAATGCTTCTCTTCAGACTGCCATATTCGTGCTTATTAATCTATTTTTGAGTTTCAATATTGTGATATCAAATTTTACATATTGGGGTTATTTTATTGGAAGCGAGAGATGCTCAAAGTGACAAACGGGGAAAGCTGGTGACCGCCCTCAAAGGTGGTCGGGTTTCTCGGTTGAGAGGCTGCTGCTTGAATGTTATGATCGATGTTCAAACTGTACCGTTGTCCAAAATGATCTGTCATGGCATGTGTGGAAACCTTGTTTCCTCGTTTTGCAATTAGCCATTGGTACAAGTAACTATAGCAGCCTGGTCTATTTGATCTTGATGGAATTTTTGCCTTGAAACAGAATTAAACGAATCAAAAACACAAATGCGAGAACAGAGAAATGTTCACCCAGTCCAACAAAAAAGGCGTAATTTGTGGCTTAGGGATCAGTCCGTTTCACTATGTGCATCAACTACCTTCCAGAGACTGAAAGTCTGAGAGCGCATCGAACCTAATCAGAAATAGTTTATGGTCTCAGATCCACATGTTCTCGTAAAAAATTGTACCTCTAACTTGCAACTATCAACCAAACACAACCCTGAATAGTATCATATAATATCACCATATTTCTGGCCCAAGATTAATGTAGCAAGTTTGTCTTTCAAGGTATTTACTAACCTCTCCACAAGAAAGATTGAAACGAACCAGATGAGAAAAGAAGATGAAAGAGGCGAGAGGGTAAACTCTAGAGACTCAATGAACCAGAAAACCAAAGTAAATGAACCGTATGCTAAACCAAAGGTCATATTTGACAAAGAATTAATCTCAGTCCTTATTAAATTTAACGGTTAATGCCCTCTTGAAATAGCACAATCCTTGTATCAACCAAGCTGCCATGGGAGGTTGCCATGTGGGCCCGTCCAATCCAGCTAGGCAGCAATGGGTATTTACCAAAATAACCTCAATTAAGTTGTATTTGTGAAATGTCTATAAACCAGAATCATGGCAGGAGCCTTGAATTTTCTTGAGAAATAAATAATGGATCTGGTGGGCACTGTGGAGTGGACCAAAGATGGTGGTTTAGGCGGCTATCAACTCGACAATTTTTTAAGAAAATGATTGGGGAATGGCCAGAGAGTGGAAGAATGTATTGGGTGGACCAACATCTCAACCAAATGGAGGACTAGGTTGTTGTCCGATCGGTCAAATAGTTGTCTTAAGTTGACATTTTAACTAGGGAAAATTGTAATGGAGGTCTCAAACCTTTCTTTTTGTTGTAGATTACACTCTAACCTTTCATTTTGCGCCTGCAGTACCAAACCTTTATATTTTACTGCACCCGTGATCCAAATCACTGATTCTGTCCATGATGCCATCAGTAACAGTGAAATTATAGTTTTGACTCAAATGGACAAATTAAATGAGGGACAAAATAGCATATTCACAATTTTCATAATAAAACAATTAAATAAAAAAATCACTCAAAAAAAAAAAAAAAGAAAAAAAGACTATTGTTCATCTTCTCGAACCTCCCCACCCTACCCCCTCCTATCAACACCTCAACCCAAAGTAAATCAAAATCCCACTGCCATGGGTGGACGCAGGGGGTGGCCTGGGGGGTCATGTGACCCCCCAACTTTGCTCCTTTTTTTTTTTTCACCATTAAATTTTTTATGTTTTTGTTTTAATTTTCGAAGTCATTAAGGGAGGTGAAACGAAATAGAAATATTGCATTCTTAATATCATTTCAAAGTGCTCACGATCTCATTTTCTATGTTGTAAATGGCGTACGAAACGATCAAATAACAAATGTTACGACTTGTCAAAGTAAGCCGTTCAAAATTAGTATTTCGTAAATTTTGAAAACATGCTAACTTTAAAAATTCTTCGACTATCTTACGCTAATCGAATCTACAAATTGCTTACGTCATCTCAAAACTTATTTCGAGAACTACATTATAGGCATATCGAATAGTCCAAACAGATATCGAAAGTAGTTAAAGATGCGTTAAACGCGAGTTTTAAAGAAATGCGTCTAACTCGCATTTTCTTTAAAAAAATCAATTATTCTTTAACATTTATTATTTTTGAGATACAAATTTCTCGATATAATTTTCATCATTTTATTAGAAATTTTTATATAGAATATGACATCAAAAATTTTCGAAATTTTACATTCGAAAAAGTCATATTCCATGTAAATTTTCGAATGCAAAATTACATGAGGTATGATTTTTTGAACGTAATTTTTTATTGTACAAATTTTTCAACTTTTTTGCAAGTTCGATTGTGCCTTCTAACTTTAAACTTCTGCGTCCGCCCCTGCCCTCCGCCCATCATTTGCGCCACAGCCACCGCATTAATTCAACCTAAATCTTTGTCTCGTCCCTTTCACGCTTCCTACATTGATTTCTTCAATTTTTTTCATAGCTATAATTTGCAGAGTTGGGTTCTGGAATTTGATTGTTGAGTTTGTGTAAATCATCAGATTTGGACTTTTCGGAGGTATTGAGTGCGATGTTGAGGCCGGTGAAATTGTCGGTATTGAATTGAAAAAAATAAAAGATTGGGGATTAGAAGTGTAGAAGTGAGGTGAGATCGAATTTTTTGGAGCTTGCAAAAACAAAGGATACTTTCGAAAAGACACCAAACATCAATAGTTCAAAAGTATGACCTAGCACAATATCATTGTTACTTATCATGTCGGATCCATCATCTGCTTCAATAGCCCGATTCGCCCCTTCAACAGAAACCACGTCGGATACATAATTCACCTCAGTTTGATTTCCATGTACCAAAGAAATTTCATCAGTGACTATGGGCATCTCCAACAACTTATTTTTTTGTTGAGGGGGTAGGGGTGTGCGTAGGGGTGAGGAGGTTGGGTAGTCTTTTTTTTATTATGAAAATTGTAAATATACCATTTTACCCCCATTTAATTTGTTCATTTGAGTTAAAATTGTAATTTCATTGTTGACTAATGGCATTATAGACTGAATCAGTGATTTGGACTACGAGTAAAGTTAAATATAAAGGTTTGGGAACTCTCCCTTTAACTATTAATTAAAGTTATTAAAAGAGTTGGACTATCTAGACAGTCTAATTCATATAAAAGGAATCTTCCCCAGAATGACCAAAATTACCAAGTGTTCTCATGTAGGACAATGACCAAAAAATGTTTTTTTGACTAGAATGGGTTCTTTTGTAATTGCATTCAAACAGTAAGGGCAAATATGACATTCTACTTACAGCATGCGAGGGTATGAATGTCATTGGAGAAATTCTTTGTCTAGAATAAAATGCACGCATGTCCATATATTTAATTTTTAGTCTATTTGTTATTGTGAATTGTCTCCTTCTCTGAATCATATTTCAGATATCATTCAGACATTGATCTACATAATCTCTTGGATGCTTCAAAACGTCGTCGTCGCAAGTCGATTTTCTTGGATTTACTTTTCGCACTCGCAGCCTGCCTATATTTTTTGACATCTCGAGGTAATTTTTTTTCTTTTCAAATGAGGATAGATAGTTCTGGTTTTCCGTTTGGATTCTAATTTTTTCATATATATACACTTTCTGGTTGATTGATTCACTATTTGCCTGGTATTTAAATAATTGAGTTAAATTTCATGCTCGATTCCTTGGCCTTTGCTGTTTGGTATTTCCGATTTTTGTGTATTAATATGGATTTTTTTTATGTAATTGGTTTATCTTTCAGGATACTGCTGTTGAAATTGCGTTTTCAGCATAAAAATGGGACAATGCTTAGCTAAGGTATGTATCTCTGCTTATCTTCTTCAATTATTAATCAAATTGCTTGTCTAAGACACTTTTATGTTGTAGAAATTATTTTGTTTGCCTGCGATGAGCGGTTCATGAAGTAAAGCTATATTCTTAGATTTATAGATTGGAGTAGCATTTATGTGGGTAAGCAGAAGGCATTGAGGCAGTAATTTCTATGTTGTATCATACAAGGTTGCAGATGACATGTAGCTATCGATTATCAGTTTCAGCTGGGAAATTGTTATCTATGTGGGGATATTTTTGGATTAATGGAAGGAGCATTTTAACGTATTTGCTAAGGAAAATTTTTAAGTTGTTTTCTATTTTTTTTTTGCATGCTAAGACTTGACATTTTGTTAGTCTTAAAAGTTTGCTGCACGACTTGCTTACATTTCTTCTCCTAGTCACGCCTACCAACATTTCTCTTTATATGAGGCCTTTTTAGGTCTATAGCTTACTTGCTAGCTGTAGTAAAAAAAAAAAAAAAAANNNTAAAAATAAAAAAAAAAAGCAGCTGGGCGCTTTGTCGTTAGTTGCTGATGAACAGGGCTGTTACATTTGTGAGGGGCCTCTTTGGTCTGTAAGTTTTGCTGTCTGTAGTTAGAAAAAGCTTGCAAATCTTTACACGCTCGAGTGATGAAACTGTTGCTGCAGTTGTTAGCAGTCCAAAGCATATATTACGAGCTTATCTAACTGGTGCCGCATGATCTCAAATTGTGTCACAGGCATGTATTTCACCTTTGACAAAAAATATTGTACATCTTGTATTGCAGCCAACTAATGATGGAGATGATTCTGAACATAATGTTGAACTTGCTGGTGGAAATGTCCAGCTCATCACAACAAAGGAAAGTTGGGAGCAAAAGATGGCAGAAGCAAAGAGAGATGGCAAGATTGTAAGTAGTCAATTCATTTTTTTTTCTTTTTTGCACTAATTTTAAATTTTACCTGAAAGGAGATATACATTGCCTAATTGTGTTCGTGCAATAAATAATACATAACGGCAAGATTGTAAGTAGTCTTTTTTTTTTTTTCTTTTTTTTTTTCCATTTTTGCACTATTTTAAAATTTTACCAGAAAGGAGATATACATTGCCTAATTGTGTTCGTGCAATAAATAATACATAGCTTGCTTTCCTCACTCCACACCAGATGCTGTTCCTTCCAACACCACATAAATACTGATGAGAATTGTGTATGATGATGTATCATGTCCGAGAATATTCATGCATGCACAGATACAAATGCATATAGACACATGTATGCCGGCGACAAATTACACTTGAACGGTTGAACATGGCGTGGACTATAATTAAACTGCTTGAATTGTTAGCTCCTCCTCAGGTTATGTTTGATCTACTGGATATAATAATGGCATCCCTTTCTTTACAGGACTTCTCTGTGGTGCACTTCACAGCAAGGTCTTAATTTTATATTTAGCTTATAGCTTTGGTTCCATAAAGCAATAATGGAAAGTCTTTCGTCGCTCGTGTTTAGGCTTCATTTTGCAGTCCCCACTTGCCATAATGGAGTTCTTAACTTTAATTGATTTGGTTATTCCTTTGTGTCATTCCATAGTGGCAGCCAGTCAAGAGAATGAAAATGAGCTATGCAGCCCATTCTAGGTGGGATACCTCTCAAGCTAGAATGAGAATTCCCTTCCTGGCAATTTATGTACCAAACTAGGACTTAATTCCATCCTTTTATATAAGCTCACCTGTTCAAGATAACATATTTATCAAATTGAATAGCCAGGATCATTCACAATGAAAAAGACATGATTGCTAATATTTTTTTCATGCTTATTACTTTCTCTGTCTGTTTCATATCCTACCTAGTGTCATTTTTTCTGACATTGATTTGACTATTTGACAGGTGATTGCAAATTTTAGTGCTACATGGTGTGGTCCTTGTAAAATGATCGCACCTTTATACCGCGAGCTGTCTGAGAAATTCCCTGCTCTGGTTTATCTTACCATTGATGTTGATGAGCTAACTGTAAGAATTTTGACGCTAAGAACTCCAACTGCCTAAAGCTACTCTATATACATTTCAAGTATTTCTTGAAGGCTTATTTAAAGCTGTCTGTGTTGCCCTAGTTAGAATTAGAACTCTCTAAACTCTGCGAAACAATTGTATAACGGGATAATGTCCCTAAAGTATACCTCCTCATTCTACGAATTGAAAGTATTTATCTGGTTCATTCTTTCAGGAATTCAGTTCAACATGGGATATCAAAGCAACTCCAACCTTCTTCTTCCTTAAAGATGGACAGCAAATTGACAAGCTTGTGGGTGCCAATAAGCCGGAGCTGCAGAAGAAGATTATAGCCGTACAAGATTCTGCTCCTTGTACCAGAAATAGCACTCTATGATTGTGAGCTTTCGTTATTGAAGGGTTTTAAGTTCTTGTTTTTTCACCCTTGTGAGTGACTGTAAATGTACTGTTCACGAAAATATGTTTCGAATTTAAATCCCACAAGTGTACGGATCGTTTACAAGTAATAAAGTGGAAATTCAAGAATTTCGAGTATCGTTTCCACGATGATTGATTTAAAGTGATTTTTATTATATCAACCTTAATCGAATCTATTAAACTCAAGATGATTGTTTTTGTGATTTTATGATGAAATTATGACTAATATGCGAATTAAACTAAAATTGCTATCTAAATGCAAGAATAATGGTTGAATGCAAAAGTTGATGAAATTAATGTATGAAAAGCGTACTATGATCCCGAATCCCTAAGCAAAGTTCACCCTAACCCCTATTTCACAATTTGATAACACGAGGAATTGGTTGAAGAATCAATGTTTCTAACCTATCCAACAATCTCTTTCGAGTAGAATTGAACATATTCTAGCATACCATTTGACTATATTTCTATGACAAATGCAATATACAAGAATGCATGAAATTTTGTAAACATTTAGAGATTCACGTAATGCATATCGGTATATTTCTATCATTTGTGAACAAAATGATGATTTATACTTTGTTGAGGAAATGAACCATGCGACTGTCAGAATTTTCGCGCTCGGAATGAACCATGCAACTGTATGGTATAAACCCATACGATAACATGGTTATACAAAATTTTTATTGTTCAACTCCTGTAGATGCTTGTGCGACTGCNCTGCATGGTAGAACTTGTTTTTCCTTTGAATCACTTTTGTCCCTAGGTGGTTTCGTCCACCTTTTGACCTTGATTTTTTCTCCTTCTTCTTCTAACATCCCATGATATCACCATATGTTTCTTAGCTCAACCTCATGCTTGATTCGTCATTCGGGTAATCTTTTGAATAATTGCATTTTGGTCCTCGGAGTTTCATATTATTCCATTTTGGCACTTTTCGTTCATTTTCTCATATTTTTCATTCCATCCATCAATGTAATCCTACAAACACAAATTATATCGAATTAGTCATATTTCAACATATACATCAACAATTTTCTATATTTTGTGACTTAAATAAGTGTGTGAAACACACTTATCATGTACTATCGTAAATTTGATTGCTAGTAAGTTTTGTGATTCGGAAATTCTTAAGGTTGCACTCAAATGTTCAAATCACCCATATTAAGGTATTTGTATTAATTTAATTTTTTGGTTGAGGACTGATTTGGTGCTGTATTTTTATTACCTTCTTGCATAGACGGATAGACCCGTTTTAATTATCAGTTGTTGCACTGATTCGAGCAGATTATGTTTATTTAAGGTTATATATTGCTAGATACAGTTGGCATCGACCCTCGAACTGGAGTAAAGCTATCTTGGTAGAACATGTCATAGGAAAAACGAATAGATCAAAACTAACATCAATTCAGATTATGAGAGTTCAAGTTGTCAATCGAACACTTAAAGATCAGTAATAGACAGCAACGATCCAATTACACAGCACTCGGTGTCAAACATTTCGAAAGCAATTATGTGCAACTTAATGGGATTCGGGAAAACATTTTGAAAGCAAGATTATCTATGAAAAACTTCTAGATATCACCGTGCTTTAGGGTTCATGATATGTGAAAACACAGCACTTCGTGTCAAACCGTCTGAGTCGTCACCAGCAAGGCTTCGACCACCAATACTCGTGGACATTCCACTGCTTTTCGAATCTGTTATATTGCCACCAATACCTGAGGATGCATCTGGATCTATCTTCCTTTTACATGTGATGTCCAGTTCTCCAATACTCGTGTCACTTTCCTCATCGCTTTCTTGAAGTTGCAAAGCAAACTCAAGGTTCCAAAGCACATCGCCCGATGCCCATAGAGGGCCTCTACATCCCATCATCTGATAGAGACTTCATTGACGTATCAGCAAACTTCTTAAAGCACTTGGGTGCAATCTTACCCTTTAGATATGGATCGATAATCTGGTCAAGAACGCCCAAGTTACGGCAATGCAGAGCCCATTCCGCTAAGCAAATTGGCTCCTTTGGAAGTGTTGGGTTTAAAGCTGGCCGAGCACACAATATCTAAAAAAGTACAACACCATATGAGTAGAACATCGAATTTTTCAGTCGGCGTCTGAAGTACTCAGAATCAAGATAACTGTTAGGAATATACATAGCAATGCAGACACAATATTCAGCATAACAGAGTTCTACAGGATCACTTTTAACCAATATCAGTTCAATAACCAATCTCATAACCAGCATACCATAATGTAACCAAACTACTGTATAATCATAGCATACTGTAAGCTACAGTTCACAACAATCAATCGCTCAAACCAGTATACATTTACATATACAAAAATCAGCAGAAAACATGAACTATAGAAACTGAAAGCTAGAACATTAAATGTACAGAAACAAGAATAAAAGTTTAGAGCTTCACTTCCCTTTATTGGTGGTTCATTTCGGCCGAATGCATAGGCTCAGGAACAACTTCCATACTATGCAAAAATGCCCTCCAGAGAGAGTTTAGAACGAACCAATGTCTCCAACAACTTGGCTAAGGTCATTGATTCAAAGGAATCTCCCAAGGCAGCCAAGAACCCCTAAATCTGACCTAACCCTCTGGAATAAGCCGAATAACTCAACCATGTTCCAGGTCTGAGCATCACACAGGTATTTCCCTCTAGAATGGGTTACCAAGGTCAATTTAGGGTATAGCAAGGGGATGAGTATGGGTGTCAACAGAGAGCAGAAAAACTCATAGCATCGAAGAGAGAACGAGAGAACAAGAAGAAGTGATCTAATAGTCAAAGCCCAAATGAAATATCAAAAGAGGAATTAATCCCTAACCGTAGATCTAAATCAAGGGCCACAAATAATCCTCAACAAGCACACGATCCAGGTCACACCTAAGCTACTAGAAGGTGAGTGACACCTAAGCAACATTAGGTATGGGTAAAAAAATCGACCCAACTGAGTTAGGAGAACCACTTAAGCCCAATAAACCCACATTCTTCACCTTGGTTCTCGTAACTCATTCTCTCGGTTGTGAATTTGCACATGGAAGAACTGTTCATCATCATGGCCCACTACCTACAAGAAAAATTAACCAGTATCAATATGTAGCAAAGATAAGCATAATTTAAATTTTCCTACATGTAGAATTTTAGTTCCCACATCAAAGGGATTCCTATCGGTGTGAATCTTAACAAATTCAACTTCACATTGAGAAAGATTCTCACGTATAAAATGATATTTCACCTCAATATGCTTAGATCTCTCATGATAAACAGGGTTTTTGCTAAGTGACAATGCGCTTTGACTATCAGTAAACATAATAGGTGTGTCATGCATGAAGTTCAATTCTTTTAAGATTCCCTTTAACCAGATACATTCCTTAACCGCCTTGGTTATGGTAACATATTCAGCTTCCGTACTAGACAGAGTCAATAAGGGTTGCAGTTGAGATTTCCAAGTTATGCAGTTATCACCTAGGGTAAAGAATTAAGTTGTAGTTGATTTCCTACCGTCTCTATCACCAGCAAAGTCTGAATCAACATAGACTTTAAGAGTCAACTTCTCAGATCTTTTTTCACACACTAAGCCTAGATTTAAAGTCCCAACCAAGCACCTCAACAGCCATTTCATTCCCGCCCAATGCGACTTACCAGGATTCGACATAAATCTACTTAGAAGACTGATGGAAAATGCAAGATTAGGTCTGGTAGTAATCATAGAAAATATGACAGAACTTATGGCATTAGCATACGGAATATTTTCCATCTCTTTCAATCAGACTCGGATTTAGGCGAATGATCATGTGAAAAGTTCATATGAGTAGTAAGAGACACATTAACAATTTTACTGTTTTTCATTCCAAATTTTGTTACAACTTTATTCATGTAAGCTTCTTGTGAAATTGTTAATTTATTCTTAGCCCTATGCCTTGTTATCACCATTCCTAGAATTTTTCTAGTGTTCTCTAAATCTTTCATATCAAATTCAGATTTTAAAAGATCTTTCAGTTCTTTAATTTGAGACTTGTTGGGTCCAACTAAAAGCATATCATCGTCATTAAAATACAAGCAAGCATCAAATCCACTTCTTTTAAACCTTATCTTCAATACATAGGCATCAAACATTTTGTACCATTGTCTTGGGCTCTGTTTCAGCCCGTACAAAGATTTCTCTAACTTGCACACATAATCAGACTTGCCTCTAGCCACAAACACTTATGGTTGGCTCATGAAGATATCCTCTTCCAACTCCCCGTGTAAAAACACAGTTTTTACATCGAGTTGTTCAAGTTCCCAATTGAATTGAACAACAAGAGCCAACATCAGTCTGATTGTCTTGTACTTAACCACATGTGAAAATATCTCATTATAGTCCACACTCTCTTTGAGTATAACCCTTAGCCACTAATCTCTCCTTATACGTCACAGAATCATTAGGGTTCAAACCTTCTTTTAACTTGTAGATCCACTTACATGGAACTAATTTCTGATCTTTTGGTTTCGTAACAAGTTTTCAGGTTTTGTTATCACTCAAAGATTTCATTTCTTCCTGCAAGGCTTTTATCCAGTTTTCAAAATAATTTCCATTAATAGCTTCTTCATAACTAGCAGGTTCTATCTGTTCAAGGGCTTTACCTGAAACTAAGGCAAAATCAGTCAAACTTAGGGATTTATATCTCGGATTAGGCCTGATCTGCCTTCTAGCCCTATCCCTAGTAAGCTGGTAATCTTGATTAGGTGGCTGATTATTAAAATGTTCAACTTCAACTGGTTCAATGTTATCTTGAAGTTCAGTCACTTCTTCAGGTTGAGTTTCAGTTTCAGGTTCTTGATGTGTAGGGTCATTACCGTCATTCTTAGGTGTAGGTAAATCAAGCTTAGTAAGCTTCACCTCAGTCTGAACACTCCTCTAAGTTTCAGATTTGTTAGCTTCAGTTTTCTGTTTTAGACATGGCA